ATACATGACAGTTCTCCCTAAGTATTGTCTGTAGGCAATTGTAATAACTGCACTTTTATTTGCATTCTATCCATTTGTTCTTCTCTAAATTCAGAGTAATGTGACTATCTGCTCCATTCTAGAGCCTTGCCATGTCATCCTTTCAGGAAGTCAAGATTTTAGAAGGAAAAAAGTCAATTCACAATTGACATAAAAAAGAACTGGTGCATAAGCCTTAGCGTCATCAAAGTTCAAGCCGTATCTACAACAAAAGTCTGTTTCTCTGAGTAACTTCAGCAGGCTGAAAAGATAAGCAGGTGCTTTGCTGCTTTCAGAATCTCTTTCAGCTTCCCAGTTTTTCAAAACAGGAAAGGGAAAACAAAAAAAAACAAACAAAATGCCTTGTCAGAGACAAGTCTACATAACTAAATACTTTCAAATTGTGATGCTAATTACACAGATTAAGGAAAGGCTCATTAGATTTAACTAAATTATCAGTAAATAACTTCACCATTTGTGGATTTAATAAAATTAATAGTAAATAACTTAGCCGTTTGTTCAGGAGCATTTACAATCCTATTACCCAGATCCAAGGATGATTTCTTTGCTCTGGGCACAGATCCAGAATGGTCATTAAAAACAATACGAAATTGTTGTGGAGAAAAAAAATTATCATTAAAATGTGTCGTAATACTCAACTCTCACTTTTAAAATGCACATTTTGTATTGAGCCCAAATGATGCAAACTTCAGACAAATGATCTCCCACATACAGTTCCTTCTTCACACGCAGTTCTCTTCAATGATGCATTCAAATCTTTTTCAGATTTTTGTATTTAATTGTTGCCTTTTGTATTGCATGTGGGCTCAGGCTGTTAGAAGGCTGTCAGTCAAGGAGAATGCCACACATATCTTTTAACATGCTTCCAGCATCTCTCTAAGGCTCATCAAATTGCCAAGTGGCCTGTGGTTGGAGAAGAAAGGAACGATTCTGACAAAACATTGTAAGTTGAGCTCTAGGAAAGAGGCAGGTCAGAGGAATGGACTGTTGTGGTGTCCAAGCGAGCAGGAACTATACACATCATGTTTTTGCATAATTTCAGCAAATTCTGCACAATTTGTTCAAACATACAGAGAGATTACATTTGTATCTTTTGAATCACTGTCAAGATTGAACACATTTTGCAGAGTAGAAGTGAGTGTGAACTAAATTAACTTCCTTGCTATTCAAGGGAGGACTGTAGCAAGGAAAACAAGAACAACCAATGTGACTGGTAACTACTTATGGTCACATTATGCTGCAGTGCTCACTTGGGTGACTCATTTCATTATTTGATGAATAAATTTTAGTAGGTCTGACTAACCAAGTCATATTGAGTGGATGTAGTATTTCAGATGGACATTTTGGGACATTTTTGTTGCTTAGTGTACAGGAGACTGAAACAGAGACAGTGGAGAAGAGACCAGAATTCTCCTGTTAAGCCAAACTGCTTTTGATGGAGAGGCTATGTGCTTCATAACATCAGCAATTCAGTGATATTAGCCTCATTAATTACATTTGCTAAAGTACCCTGTATCCATGAACCATCACCAGTGTGGCTTCCCCTTTTATGTGTTCATTAACCCTAAGACTGATAAATGTGACAGTAGCTTTCGGAAGCAATACCTACTTCTAGTAAACAGAGGTGGGTCAGTGGGAAGAAAGAACATTGAAATGAAACTTAAAATACTTGAGACTGTTCATCTCCCCACACAGAGACCTTGATGGTGATCATGGCCATCCTGAAGAGCGGGCAGCCGGCTCTCAGCCTTGCCCACTCTGGATGCAGCCAAGGCAGAATGGATGGTTACATGGGGCTGCAGAATGACATCTCGTCACACGTTGCAGCAGAAAGGACACATCCATTTGAAAACCGTGTATATTGCACATTACATGGCCTGTGCCACTTGGAGACTAAAACACAGTGATTGCCCATAGTGATATTTCTAGCCACCTACAAATGTGTGTTCTTGTGAAGGCATGCTTTTTTTGTTATTAAGTAGGCATGTAAGCTTTCTTATGTAGTTATTAAACTTGTGTTTGTGTTAATACTTATATAGTGCTAACAAATTCTGCAAGATTTGACATCTTCAAGGTGAAAATCTACTTATCTGTAGTGTGTTTCAAACCATAACAACATTCAGAATGAAACTCAAATTACGGCAAGCTCAAGTAATGACAGTTCTGAAATATTGGATAAACACAGTCTTGCAAACAGTGAAAAACATGTTTCCATGCTTTTCATTACGATAAAGGAATTTGAGAATAAGCTTTAAGATGGCCAAAAAAATCTCTTTTTTTTTTTTTTTTGTATATTTGCAATTCCATTTTCGTTTGACGTAAATACGTTACCTGCGTATTTTCAAATGCAATGTGCAGAGTTGAAATCAGACACTGAATTCAAAGAAAAATATGACCATGTCTCTCGATCAGACTTCTGTGAAGTGTCTCTCACAAGAAAGAAACACCCCATGCTTCACAGCCACACCTTATTCATGTCACTGCCTTTTGGCACTATGAACATTTGTGAACAACTTTTCAAGGATGAAGTGTAGGAAGAACAAAACACCATCAAAAATCTTTGATGAACACCCAGAGAACTCACTGCAAATTGTGGCTGCTGCCATTGAACCAGACACTGATGTGTTAGTTCCAAAAAACAAGGTCACATACCCTTTTTGTTGCCCTTGTTTTTTCTTTTAATAATAATAATAATAATAACAACAACAACAATAAAACACATTAAAACGCTTTATTACTTTTAAACATTAAATATATTATATATTTTAAATGTGGCCCAAGACAATTTCTCTTCACTCCACGCAGCCCAGGCAAACCAAGAGATTGGGCAACTATGGAGTAGAGGAAAGATTTAACACACAAACAACAGTGAGATGTGTCAAAGAAACCATGAAAACAATAGAACAGTTCACAAGTTTTCTGAATTTCTTTACTAACACATATTTTCAAAATTTTATTAGTAGGAGACCGTCAGTTATTTAAATATGTAAAGGATACATAAGAAATCTGATGTGGAATACAAGGTACGTGACTAAAAGAGAACACAGAGGCATCTTTTAGAAATACGAAGTCTCTCACTATCTCCACAACTTACTAAATGCTTTTAAAATCACAAGAATTGAGGTAGATTTGGGGCCTAATTATTAATCACACTTTTTTATGGATTCTAAATATTCACCATTTTTCTTTCAACAAGTAAGGAGTACGCTTCCCTCTGATACAGGAATTCGTAAGTCACAGACCACATGGCTCTTCACTGTTTGGTTGCTATCCGTCAGTTCCTTATGGTTACTCTCTGAAGAGCTGAAAGAGTTATCAGCAACTGCTTCTGCTGAATTTTCTAAATTCTTACACATTTCTGCTCCTTGTGCATTTTGTGATATCATAGAGTTTGGTAATTCTTTCTTTGCATTCCTTCAGCGTTGTGCTCTCAAATAGTTTTCCTTCAGAGAAGTGGGGTTTCATTACTGTTCTATATTCAGTGCTTTATAATTAATGAAAAGATTTCTTCTTGGAAACATATCCACGGTCTTTGGATCAGAGGTGGGATAGGCTTTTAGTTTGGGAAGCTGATCAATATTGATTCTTCAAGAAAGCTGTAAGTTGACTTAGGATCCAAAATGAATGGTAGAACTGACCAAGTATTAATCAGTCCTACAAATACTGTCAGTGCTGTTGGTTTAATCCAACACTCTACTGCAGGACTTCCTTAATTAGCTGATGACTGCATTCAGATTTAGCAGTTTTATTCATGACTTGCACCAAAAACAGATATTCCAGTCAACAACCAGAGTGTCAGTGAAAAGCTGAGTCATGTCTCTTTGATACCTGAGCCCTGCTTTAAAGTAGCAAATGGCTCCTGCAGCTGGTGTGCACACATCTCTGGAGGTATCAAGCTGGAAGAGAATGAGTACTGCAAAACTTGCTCAAGAGGTTGCTAAACCAATCAGAAAGAAACATTCAGATTTCTAAATCCTGGCTTCAATTTTTGTTACATTTGATGAATTTACTCCCCCATTCCTTGCTCAGGAAAGACCCTACCTGATAGGTTTATAGTGTTTTTTGACCTGGTGTTAAACCAATGCCATGGTATCACACTACAACTCTGCTGGGATGCTGCGATCCCATCAGAGCCACCAAATGGCTGAAAAGACCATATAGCACCATTCCTTCTTTCAGCATCGTCCCATGCAGCAGGCTGGGATATCTCCAGCTGCACCGCAGAGCCCAAATCACTCACGTCTCCTTTCTGCAATGGGAAAGCCCCTCAGGCGCCTGCACTGCTTTGCTCATCCCCAGAATGAATCGGCGTAGGGTGCACGAGCTCTGCTTCATCAGCACTGCTGTTACAGGTTGGAGTAGGATCACAAACCTGTATTGCCACCTTCGATTGCCAAAGTAAGGGCAGGTTTGCAGCAAAACCCCATGCGCCTTTCAAGAAAACGGGAGCCTAGAAATGCTGCATTATTCCTGGCAACATCCAGAATGAATGAAATAAAATACAACCAGCCTGTACATCTCTAACCTCACAAATATTTACACACACTCTTCAGGACACGCATTGAGGGGATTCCTTTGAATCCAGCAGGACTTTTCGGGGCTGAGCGCCGCACGTCCCAGCCGATGGGTATGCATCCGCGATTCGGGATTTCTCACTTGGGTACCAACGAAGCGTTCGGACTGTCAGGAGACCAAAACTCCGTGTGCCTGCCACACGCGCAGGGAAGTCAAGAAGGGATACCGCATCCCATGCGGGATGCCCACTCATCACCGACGGGTGACGGGCGAACTTCATCCCGTCCCACCGCCATCCCAGCCTCAGGCGGGGCCCCGAGCCCGCCCCCACGGCCCGGCCCCGGCCGCGGCCCCTTCCCCGGGGCGGAGGGAGGGAGGCGGGGCCGGGCCGCTGCTCGGCGGGGCCGGGCCGGGCCGCTCGGGGCTGGCGGCGAGAGGAGCCGCGACGGGCGGCAGCGGCAGCGGCAGGGGCAGCGGCAGCGGGCAGGGCGCGGCCGGCCCCCGGCATGGCCCGGCATTAGGCAGCCAGCCCACGCCGCGCCCCGTGCGTCCTATGCGAGCCGCCCCGGCGCCAAGATGAAAGGTAGGGACGGCAGCGGGGAGAGCGCACACGTGTGCGGCGGGCACCGGCGGCGGGCAGGGCAGCGCGGGGAGCGCGGGGCGGGCGGGGCGCATCCCCGGCTCCGCGCGGGGCAGCGAGGCAGAGCCGGAGCGGATCCTGCCGTCCCCCTGCGCCGTCCCGCTCTCGGCACCCGCTCTGCGTTCCCCTCATCCCCATCTCCGCTGTCCCGCGGACGAGACTTGGAGTTCTCCCCCAGCGGTTTGTTTATTCCCTGCCAGCGCTGTGCGATGTTTCGCGGTGTTGCTTCTAAACATCTGGCAGTGATTAGGTGCCAGCGGAGGCTTGGCTGGCTTGTGAAATGTATCTGGCATATTGCTCCTCAACATCCACCGACTGGAAAATATTTGGGCTTTGCTTTGCATCTGTTAAAGCTGAAACTTTGTTTCTTTTTATCTCGTTTTTCTCTCTCCCTCTCTTGTTGGGTGAAAGTCTTCTCTTCTGCCGACTGACCCGTCCCAGCAAGCTGGGACTGAGATAATGCCCTTTCAAAGTCAAATAGGCAGACTGCCGAATCGATGTAAGATACACTGGGGGACTACAAGAAAGCCTGTTTAGAAAATCGACAGCCTTGCAGTGAGAGGCAGAGCTCATGCACACCGGAGAGCAGTCATAATGGGAACATGAAAGGAAAGTGTAGGAAGAATCGGGAGTTCGCAAGAGTTGGGTCTCAGTTTCCTTCGGAGATGAAAGTACACTCGAAGGGTGGAAGGGAAAAAGCACACACGAAAATTGCTTTTGGGCAGTGGTGTGGCTGTGCTTGGATTGCAGGGGCTGGTGCCAGATGCCAGATGCCGGTAAACACGGCGACACTGACATGGAGTTTCCAGGGCCGGGGACACCGAGTGGTGCGATATTGACTCGCTTTGCCTGAAGGGAAGAAAGGCTTTGGGGGATTCTGATTCTGGTTCCAGTACCTGGAGGGGGCCTACAGGAAAGCTGGGGAGGGACTTTTTATAGGGGCATGTAGTGACAGGTTGAGGGGAAATGGCTTTAAACTGTAATAAGAAGATTTAGAGTAGATATTAGGAAGAAATTATTTAATGTGAGGGTGGTGAGACACTGGAACATGTTGCCCAGGGGCTGTGGATGCCCCATCCCTGGAAGCATTCAAGGCCAGGCTGGATGGAGCTGTGAGCAACCTGATCTAGAGGTGTCCCTGTCTATAGCAGGGAGTTGAAACCAGATGATCTTAAAGGTCCCTTCCAGTCCAAACCATTCTATCAAAAAAAAAAAAAAGAAGAAGAAAAAAAAAAAAGAAGAAAAAAAAGACTTCTATTCTATTCTATGGCTCCACAAGCCCACCCACACTATTTGAGTTACTGCTGGTGTTGTGACATAATCTCCCCACAGGGCCCTGCAATGTATTTAAAATAATATATTTATAGTGTATTTGTATGTTACTCATGCCAAAAGCTTTGTCACTGGCTTGTCACTAAGGGTGTAAGTGTCATGGCAGGAACAAACCAAAGCAATGGGAACCCAGTAACATCAAGCCATGGGTGTTACCACTGTGGCCTTGCTTTGGGACTGGAGCAGGGCTGTTGTGCGGGTCAGGCAGGATGGCGAGGGCAGAGCAGAGCAGTAACACATTGGAGCAGCCAAGCACTGTGCTGCATGGCACCTGGAACAAGGCACTGAGCCCAGTGAAGCCAGCAGGTGCTTTGCTGTAGCAATAGGTGGGTACAAGACATGAGGGGGCTGGAACTAGGTGATAATTGGGGTCCCTTCTGACCCAAGACATTCTATGGGTCTACGATTATATTTCTGCCTCCTTCCACTCTGCCTGCAGTGCTGTGTTTTGCTGAGTGGAGAAGTGGCACTTGGATAGCCATGTGCTCACAGCCTGGCAGGGGGGATGCTCTGTTCTGCTTGCCAACTCCTGCCATCACCTTCCCCAAAAGCAATCACAGCCATCTCATTTCTACCTCCCCTAGAAATCAGTTCCAAAACATGCACAGAACCGCTAAATGATGGTGCTAATAATCGAAGAAGCCTTCCAACCTATCATCAAGTGCCATTGCTTGTGTCATGGAAACTGCAGAGCCAAAGCAAACTTTGACTCCATGTCTTCTTTCCCTGATGCATATTTGTTTTTTCATAATTTCTCTTTAAACTTGATGGGGGTGATAAGTGGAGGAGTCGGTGCAGTGACACCAATAGCAAAACGATCTGTTGATTGCAGCTGTCTCTGCATCTACCCTCTCTGGAGGACGGAGGAATATCTAAATAATTACATCACTGAGTATCTGTACGGAATAAATTATATTTTCCACTGCTGGTGTTTGTAACGTGCTGTGTTTTAAATCAGTAAAATAAATGGAAGTTTACATTTGATGTGCTTGCAGTTGGATTTGCAGCAAACTACACTGAGCTCACAAACTTTGCAATACTTTTAAGTAATAATTCATGTAATTTTTAAAGGGACTCAGCTGGTTCACAGTTACATATATTTGTATCAAATGATATGTTTTCTTCTAAATTTTAGTTATGTATTGGGGAATGAGACACTGTTTGTTGCCTAGGAAACAACTGAAAACAGCTTCCCACAGTCAACACCACATGCTCAAAAACATCGACCCAAGTGAAGAAAGAGGAACACATTGTTAAAACTTTTGTGATACCTTTTGTAAAGATCATCTGAAACCATATCTGTAACTGGTCCAGTCATGGCTGCTGTGGTTTTGCCATTTGCAACGTGGCTTTTGTTTGGACAGTGACCGATCACTGCTGCCCCAGATCAGGCACTGCCATGGCCCAGGTGGTTTTGTGGGATGATGGCTCTGGCACAGCAGAGGAGCTCTGTATCCTTCCATGGATCCTCCTCTTCTGATCCATTCCTCCCACCCTGCTGACTGCACTGCTTGGAGAGCGGCGCTCATGGTGGACAAAAAGTCGGCTGTGCTGTAACAGGAGGAAGCATCTGGAAGAATGCCCTATCCTGTGCAGTGCCTCTCATATAATAACAATAACAACAACAACAACAACAGCAACAATCTCCTCTGCATTCTAATTTAGAGCCCAGATGCAATCTGCAGGTGAAGCTTCCACCTTCAAAACGGGAATGTGCATGCACCGTTCAGTTGCTCTTTCACAAAAAGCCTTGAAATAAATGGTCTGTTTACATGATGTCCACCTCCTTGGCAGATTTTGTCTTTCCCTTGAATCATTTTGATGCCACTGCTGTGTTTGTAGAATAAAGTGAGGTTGCTAGTGGAGAAACGTGTCTCTCTCCCTCTGTAATCTTCCCATGCACAAAATCAGATGAGTGGTTGTCTGCAAAAAGTCCTTCCCAGGATAGAAACAGCAAACTGCATGTTTCAAACAACCCAGCCCAAAGCGTTTTGCAGGAGCCAGACAGCATCTGAAAACCAAGGACGAGGAGCGGAGCGATCCAATAACCTTCACTCAGTGCAGTTATAGCACGGCTCATATGAATATAGTGACATAAACATGAAACATATGCAAAGCTCGGAGTGGTGTGTGTTGGACATGTCACAGGACCCTACCGCAGAAGTTCAAAGGCATGAGCGGCTACAATAAACGTGTGATAAAATGCAGAGCAAATCCCAGGCAGTGCTACTCCACAGCCGGTGTAACCCGGACTGGCTGGTAGCGATGGGGGTTTTTAAACATATGTATGAGAGAGATGATCATGCATGCGTGTGTCAAAGGATATTCTCCTCAATGCCGAAGAGGAAAGAAAGCAGAGTTTTAGGAGCTGTGAAAATAAGAGGGAAATCTGTTTTTGCACAGATAGAGCTGTTACTCTGCAGGTGGCTATTGAGCAGAAGTAGCTAGTAAGCTATTGAATGCAGGGTTATTTTTGATAAGAAGTCGTGACTGTGCATCTTGACTTTGAATGTTCTGACTTTCCTGGCCACACAGGACCAAGAAGAGTGAATGGAGCTGTGTGAGGAAGGCTCTTCCTTCTGCTGCTTTGGAGAACAGGAATTTATTCTGGACGAGTTTCGCTACAGCTGAGAGCTGAACAGAGCCCTTTTTTGTCACGATCACTTAATGCTTCATTGAGATCCCTGCTCAAAGGCCATTGTACTCACAGGTCCAAACACCTCTGCTGGCTTGGTTGGCAGGGAGGGGGGGAAACATGGTCCTGCACAGGGGTACAGCTGGTACGAGCTGGCAGAGCTAAGCCAGAATCATAGAAAGAGAGTGCAAGAAATGTCAAGGATGAAGGCAATTCAGCACTGCAAAGGATGTGTGCCTAGTTATCTCCAACTGCACGAAACACTTCTTATCATGAGGTTCTCTTGTGTCAAAACAGAGATATCCCCAGTGGAAAGCAAAATAAAGACACCTTTTAGCAGGCACTGAAGGTGAACATGATCCTCCTAATAGTGTGAGTGTGGTCTGTGTAAGCGAGGGATCAGGGCAAAATGAATTGTATTTGGAGTCTGACTGCTCCCACCTGAAGTTACAATCCCTTTTGGTGCATAAATTTGAGGTGAAGACTGGGATGTCGCTAGGAAACAAAGTGGATGACTTATGGGAGGCAGTATAGGAGTGTGGCATTCAGGAATGCTGCTGTTTAATGCTGTTGTTAATTGCCTCCTCTAACATGCAGACAGAGAGGCTAAATTTTTCAGTGCACTAATGAGAACAGATCTGTTTGCCCTTAAATCATTATGCTGAAATATGATATGATTTAATAAACCTTTAACTTCTAAGGTCGACCCTCTGCACTGTGCAGCTGGTGCTGGCCCCAGTGCTACAGCTTTGCTCTGAGGCACTCAGAGGCTGTGCAGGTTTTGGTCAAGAAACACCACTGTCTGCTCTCATCATTTCATCCCTAAAAACGAAACTGGAGCTTTTTAATCTTCTGTCTCTTTTTGTGCACTCTCTCCATTTTGGGGCTGTAGGAGTTGGGCTGTAGACCAGGACCATAGCACTGAAAACCCATTTGTAATGACCGTTGGTTTTTTTATTATGTTTTATGCATGTGT